AAGGGCGTTAGGAGCAGAAGTATCCATATGCCATCCATATCAATCAAGAATAAAAGAAATCAAATATAATAAAGAGTTTCCTTTTTCAAAATACTGCAAAGAAGAAAATATTATATTTGCACGGATTCTCTCCTTTTAGCTGAATGTTTAGATTATGAATATGTATTAATGAAGTTACTTAAATTAGATTATACTGAATATTATGTACCTAAAATAGATTGTACAAACTACTATTTATTGGAATGAAAGCAAAGGAAAAAGACATTCAACCTATTTGCTCAAAATATTGTCATGGTATCAGAGCCTGAATCCTTAAAATTTTAGCTTTACTTATCTTTGTCCGGCATCTTCGACTGCTTCCTCACCGAAGAGAGGTCGTTCTTGTCTTTGAGTTCTGCCGCTGCTTCAAGCCGATCGACTCCCTTCGATCGATCGGACCTCTGGTAGTGCGGCATCTTGCTCGTCCGGCATCTTCGATCAACCACAAGCACTTCATTTGTCCGGCATCTTCGATCCGAGCATCTTGTTAGTCCAAGCCGCGTTTCGTCATCTATCGCATCACCGCGGTCTGTCGTGCCTCGCTTGCCGTTCGCCGTTTGCTTTGCTCTACAGAGGTCACCGCGATCTCTGCCTTGTCGTGATCTTCGGACATCACTCGCTTGCTCATCACCGTGATCTGTCGTGCCTCATTCGCCGTTCGCCGTTCGCCTTGCTCTACAGAGGTCACCACGATCTCTGCCGTGCCGCGATCTTCGGACATCGTTCGCTTACTCATCACACCTCTGTGTCGCGATCTGTCGTTCGCACATGTGTCGTTCTTTGCTCCAATCTGCATCTTTTGTCGTGCCTCGACTTTGATTATTGTCTTTGCATCTCTGCCGCGGCTTAAAGCAGTCCAATCTGCATCCACTCCGTTCCGTCGATCGTCAAGACCCTAGCCATTGGATTTGAACTTTATTTATTTTAAAAATGTATTCTGAAATCTTAGTTATTAAATTTACGGGAAAGAATTATGCCGCATGGGAATTTCAACTCAGAATGTTCTTAAAAGGGAAGGAGCTTTGGGGTCATATTGATGGATCTACCCCAACTCCTACTGAGACAAAAGATCTTGGTCAATGGGAAGCAAAGGATGCACAGATTGTTTCCTGGATTTTGGGATCTATTGAGGCTCATATGGTGAACAATTTACGATCCTTTGGCACAGCTAAAGAAATGTGGGAATACCTGAAGCGCGTTTATAATCAAGATAATTCTGCGAAACGATTCCAATTGGAACTTGACATAAGTAATTATAGTCAGAGTAATATTTCAATCGAACAATATTATTCTGGTTTTTTAAATTTATGGAGCGAATATACTGGTATTATCTATGCTAAAGTGTCAAAAGAGAACTTAGCCAGTCTTCAAGCCATTCATGAAGAAAGTCGTCGTGATCAGTTCTTAATGAAACTGAGACCTGAATTTGAAACTACTCGAGCTGGGTTGCTGAATAAAGATCCGGTTCCATGTTTGGATGTTTGTTTTGGGCAATTACTGTGCGAAGAACAAAGATTGGCGACACAAGCTACTATCAGTACAACAGGTGGATCATCAGAAATAATTAATGTGACATATGCTGCTAAAACCAAAGGGAAGGGGCCAGTACAGTGCTACAACTGCAAGAAATTTGGACATATTGCACAGAATTGTGAAAATAAAGTATGTAATTATTGCAGCAAAAGGGACATACTCTTACGGAGTGCCCAACACGACCCCAAAATCGCAAACCACAAGCACTTCATGCCACGGTATCCGACAATCCTGCCTCGACTTCTACTGTTGCTGACAATAATCAATCAACTGTCACACCCTATATGGTTCAACAGATGATTCTCTCTGCATTTTCTGCTCTCGGCCTTCAAGGGAAAGGTAAAACTATTTCTTCGGTTACTTCTCCTTGGTTTGTTGATTCAGACGTCACAAATCATATGACTAGCACTGCTGAGCTATTGCATAACCAACGACTGTATACTGATACTCAACATATTCAGGTTGCCAATAGAAATAATATTCCAATTACGATAGTTGGTGATATTAACTCATCCTTCAAACATGTTTTAGTTTCTCCTAAATTATCTACTAACTTACTCTCTGTTGGTCAAATTGTGGATAATAACTGTGAAGTACATTTTTCTCGTGATGGTTGTATTATGCAGGATCAGGTGTCGGGGAAGGTGATAGCGAAGGGGCCTAAAATGGGCAGATTGTTTCCATTACAATTTACTGTTCCTCAGAATATTTCATTAGCATCTTCAGTTGTTAAGAATAAGACAGACATCTGGCATAAAAGACTAGGTCATCCAAATGATATGGTGTTGAAACATTTACATAAAAGTGATGTTTTTTGTTCTGCAGATAATAATTTAGTAGTTGATTATTCTGTTTGTAAACTTGGAAAAAACAAAACATTACCTTTTTCAATTTCAGGCAGTCGTGTCAATAAATGTTTTAACATTATTCAAAGTGATGTTTGGGGAATTACACCAGTGGGGAATTACACCAGTTAATAGTGATGTTTGAGGAATTATACCAGTTATTTCATAGGCTCAATATAGATATTTTGTGACATTTATTGATGATTACAGTCGATTTATTTTTATTTATTTTTTACGTGCCAAAACAGAAGTATTTACTGTATTCCAAACATTTTTAGCATATGTTGAGACTCAGTTCTCCGCTCACATTAAAACCTTACGTTCTGACAATGACGATGAATACATGCCTCATGAGTTTCAAACATTTCTTCAGAACAAAGTGATTGTTTCACAATGTTCTTGTCCCTATACATCGCAGCAAAATGGAGTTGCTGAACGAAAAAAAATCAACATCTATTGGATACCGTGCGCACATTACTGATAGAATCTTCTGTTCCAGCTAAATTTTGGACTGAAGCTTTATCTACTGCAGTTTATCTCATTAATCGCTTACCATCTCAACAATTGAAGTATGAGTCTCCCTACTATCGAATTTTTGATAAACACCATAATTATCATACACTACATACTTTCGGATGTGTTTGTTTTGTTCATCTACCTGCTCATGAACGTCATAAATTGGCAGCACAGTCAGTCAGATGTGCCTTTATGGGGTGCAGTCCTAATCATAAAGGTTTTGTGTGTTATGATTCAATTAATAGTCGATGAAATATTTCTCGAAATGTGATTTTCTTTGAACATGAATATTACTTTCAATATCATATGTCCACATCAGATACAATTATACTTCCACAATTTGATAATTCTTCTATTGATAAACGGTCCAAGCCAGACAATGTCTACACACGACGCCTGCCCCCTTCACCTTCAATCCTCCACGAACCTGATCCAGAAATTGCTCCACTAAGTATTCGACGATCAACCCGATGTATTCGTCCTCTAGATAAATATGGGTATTCTACAATTTTAACTAATACTACTGTCCCTACCTCTTATTTTCAAGCTACTAAACAGACTTGCTGGGTCAAAGCCATGAAAGAGGAACTTCAGGCACTTCAAGACAATCACACATTGGATATTGTTTCATGTCCTACAGGTGTTAAACCTATTGGTTGTAAATGAGTTTATTCTCTTAATCTCCGATCTGATGGCTCTCTTGACAGATATAAGGCAAGATTGGTAGCTCTTGGCAATCGACAGGAGTACGAGATTGATTATGACGAAACATTTGCACCTGTGGCTAAAATGACAACTGTCCGACTAGTGTTATCTATTGCTGCATATAAAGGCTGGTTCTTAAAGCAAATGGATGTTAAGAATGCACTCTTACATGGGGATCTCAAAGAAGACGTCTATATGACTCCTCCAGGCTTATTTTCTACACCTTCACATGATGTTTGTAAACTCAAACGGTCTCTATACGGTTTGAAACAGGCTCCACGGGCCTGGTTTGAAAAATTTTGCAATACCCTTCATAACTTCTCTTTTATTCAAAATCAATATGATTCATCATTATTTCTTTGCAAGACTAAAAACGGAATTGTTTTGTTATTAGTATATGTTGATGATATTGTCATCACAGGATCTGATAATCAATTGATGTCTCAGCTACAGAAACGTTTTCAGGGTTCTTTTCATATGAAAGATTTAGGGTCATTAACTTATTTCTTAGGACTCGAGGTTCACTCTTCTTTTGCTGGTATTTTTCTTCATCAGCACAACTATACGAAGGGACACATTGCTTTAGCTGGTCTTCAAGATGGTCGCTCTACTGATACCCTCTTGGAGGTAAATGTCAAATATCAACAGAATGATGGTGACTTTCTATTTGAACCATTTCTATATAGACAACTGGTTGACAGTCTCAATTATCTGACTATTACACGTCCTGATATTTCATTTGTTGTGCAACAAGTTAGTCAATTTATGCAAGCCCCTACACATTTTCATTTAGCTGTCGTTTGACGTATTATTCGCTATTTGAAAGGTACTTCTCATAGTGGTTTGTTCTTTTCTGCAAAGTCTCCTATCACCTTAACAACCTATAGTGATGCCGATTGGGATGGTTGTTCTGATACACGTCGATCTATTACTGGATGATGCATGTTTCTAGACAACTCTTTAATCTCTTAGAAGAGCAAGAAACAAGATCGAGTGTCTAAGTTATCTACTGAATCAGAATATCGCGCTATGTCATCTGCTTGTTCTGAAATCATTTGGCTTCGTGGCTTGCTGGCTGAGCTTGGTTTTCCTCAGCTTGAGTCTACTTCTCTTCATGCTGATAATACTAGTGCTATCCAGATTGTCGTTAATCCCGTCTTTCATGAACGCACGAAACACATTGAAGTGAATTGTCATTCCATTCGAGAAGCCTATGAAGAGGGTGTTATATCTCTTCCTCATATCACTTCAGATCTTCAAACGGCTGATATATTTACTAAAGCTCATTCTCCACAGCGTCATCAGTTTCTTGTCAACAAATTGATGCTTTTTGACCAGTCAGCATCAATTTGAAGGGGGATATCAATCAGGAATAAAAGAAATCAGATATAATAAAGAGTTTCCTTTTTCACAATACTGCAAAGAAGGAAATATTATATTTGCACGGATTCTCTCTTTTTAGCTGAATATTTAGATTATGAATATGTATTAATGAAGTTACTTAAATTAGATTATACTGAATATTATATACCTAAAATAGATTGTGCAAACTACTATTTATTGGAATGAAAGCAAAGGAAAAAGGCATTCAGCCTATTTGCTCAAAATATTGTCAATCAAATCACATAATCAATATCAGATTCATGCAGAACAAACATGGAGGAACAATAAAAACTTTATGCCACCAAATCCACCATTGAGGTGAAAAGAGTAATTTTATTTTTATTTTTAAGTTAGATCTGTTAAAACAGTTAATCTTTTTTAGAAGGGGTAATTACATGAATAGCATTCAAAATTTGACTATTTACAAAACTAACACTCATTAATCCAAATTTCAAATTCTCACTCATATGTCAAAATTCAGAATGAAAGTGTTGCATTTTTATCAAATTCCCAATAGATTGACCATCAGACGCATAAATGCACAATGTGTAATTTCAAAAAAAATGACAGGTGCTAGTTTCATAAGAAACAAAATATTGAGTGCCACCCGAGTAATTTTCCTTTTTAAAAGTTACAAAAATAATTTTATTATAATGACTTGATATCTACTTAAAAGATAAAACTACAGCTGCCCCAAAATTGACTCTTAAAGGCACCGATAAAAGTGTCTTTTACACCATTTCCTCCAACTAACGTTCCATTAAAATATTAACTATGTACCAAAAAAATTAATATATAATTCAGAATCATGTACGGTCCAACACTTCAGCAATAAGCTGTGCAGCACAAGCCCGGATATCATTACAATTTTGATATGTTAGGATAGCAATTACAGATTCCTAAAAGCTAAGCTCCTACTGTCAACCTAATAAAAAACTGTGAGAAGTCGAATTAAAAGAAAAAAAAAGGAATTTAACAATTCTAATGCATTTACATATCTAACATAAAAAAATTGATATTTACACATAAGATCATAGTTTTCTATTCGCAAATTTAAATAACAGTGGGCTATTCTATTTGGCTACAACTTTCAAACTTTTCAATAATTTCCATGTTTACATAGTTCTCACAATTGGAACTGCGATAATATAATAGCAATAAAAAACCCTATTGTCTGAAATTCTTGAGAGAAAGGTCTATAATACTCGCAGTAGTTTATAAAAAAAGATAAAATTAAATTAAAAAAAAAGCTTTTTATAAAATAATTTCCCAAAACTACCTTAAAAATTTAATAAAGAAAAAGCTGCAACCACAAACTTTACCAGAACTAGGCATCAGTGGGTCTGAAATAATGCAAATGCTGCTTGTACACCTGAGCTTCATTCCAATAGGTAAATATTTCATCATCCAATCATGGAATTAACTCAAAAAAAGTTTGAAGCAATTAATATATAGTTCTGCTTTCAGATCCATGCATTCATTCTGTCCTAAAGTAGAAGGGGCATTCCTAAGAGTTAAACTCATAATGACTTTAACATTATGTTTAACTTCAGCATATCTATTATTGGCATCAACATTAATCTTATAATTGCCATAAAACCTAATTTTCTACTTATGTCATAATTTGATTAAAATGATGGTAAAACTCAATATCCAAAATTATGTAAAGCCACCTTAAGGATTCAAGTGAGCTAAAGCACCATTCAACCTTATTCTGCAAGATTTATAAATATTGCTTAACACTCAAACATACTATATTTATCAATCTTACAATCCTTAAATTAATAATACATTTGATCCTTATATTCACTAAATAACAAGCATTGCCCTTTAAGCCTATGTCTCATACCGAATGAGTTGATAAAAGTATTTCATCAAATGATCGAACATATCCAACTTGTATACTTAAAAGAAATTACACAGCCAACTTCCAGTCAACAAGATTGAAACTGAAAGAAGAAATATTTTAAGCAAAACGTAGTTAAAGATGACCTCAAATTATTACTTAAAGACTCCTCATATAGTCTAAGCTGGTAAATAAGGTTAAGACATGTTCAATCTTTAATTTTAAATTAATTTTCAATTTAATTTCATATTTCCAAACAAACCAAACAACAACATGATTTGAAAATTTTAAATCAAGTGCAAACCACACAAAAATATGAAGTAAAAATCATATTACAGTGATAAAGCAAAAGTCATGCCACCGTCTAAATATTGCATCTCTTCTTTTCATTCTTTTTTAATCCAATGAGTAATGCCAAAAATCAACACCTCCACATCAAACTGCAACAAATTTTCCACCACCAAAGGAAGCAAATCCGCATCAACCTGAAGAGCTTGAAAAATTTTGACTCCATCAAATTAACACAAACAACCCACCTCAAGCTCCAAACAGTTCACATTCTGTTGTGAAAATTAACATAAATTAAATTAAAAATTGAAATCATGCCAAATAAATAAGTTAATCTAAATTTAGAAAGCAAAAAAAAAAGGTTAAAAAAGAAAGAAGATTTGCGTGCGTGTGTGTGACCTTACCTACAATGTGTATTTCACTTTTTAAAAGTCAAAATAATGGTATTTTTATATGTGTATGAAAGAATTGGGGGTTATAAATGTAAAAAGTAATTACATAAGAATTGGGTGGGATGTACAAATATAAAAAGTTTACACCCAAATTCACACCCACTCCCACATCCACACCCACACCCACACCCACAAACTGCACCTCCGCAACACGAAGGAATTAGACCAACAGAAAAATAGAAAGTATAAAAACTCTAAGAAAATTAATGTTTGATATAATTGGTCCACTGAGAAAAGGCAGGAAAATTTTCATCAAATACCAAGCAAGTTCCTATAGCCTGGCATTTTAATTTTTTTTTTTAAATTGCAGCTTTTTCATCTATAGCTTTTTGCGGTGAGGAAATAAAAAGAGTTTGATACGGGCAATTTTCTTTCCTAGGAAAGTAGAAAATGTGAATAAATAGAACTGCGTTCCACCATTTGTGTTTATTAGGTAAAGTGTCTTCCACTATATATTTTGAGGAAAAAAATTGAGGCTTTGATATGAGCACTTTTTGTTTCCATGTGAAAAATAGAAAATGTAAGAATAAGTTCAATTGTCTTCCACTACTAGTGTTTGTTCACTCAAAATAATAAAAGTATGTTTGCTCTCTTCAAACTTCTGATTTCAGCTTTAAGTGGAATTGGGCTTCAACAAAACTGACGAAAATGAGCACACCACAGGGCAAAAAATCTGTTCCGCTTGCTAAAAGAGAAACATATCACCATTATAAAAATATTTTTATCACCTAAGGGAATAAAACACTCTTCATAAAAAAAATAATAATAATAAAGTGAATCTTATATACCTAGCACACAATTCTTATGTACACAATTCTTATGTATTTACATATCTCACGCCTAAACTTTCATATTTACATACATAGAATAAGGTTGAATGGTTGATAAACCAAAAATTACAACAGTGACTCAAACCTGAGCCACCCTAATCACAATGAATACAAACTAAATGTTTCTTTCCCTGTAAACACATTTTCTTATTCTTAAAAATTTAGTCAAACTAGATTCAACACAACATTCAATTATAACACTTTACAGACCAAGGTTACAGAAACAAATGGTGTGCAATAACCGAAATATGAGGGAAATTAAGATATTCATTATTATAAATTAGACCCTTTCATGGATAGTGTTCTGCAAAAGGCAGTCATGAATCCTAGTCATGTGGATTAATAGTACATAAGGGTAGAAAATAGAGAAAAGTATTAGAAAATACCGTAAATTTGCATATTGTAAGGCGGCAACCCTAGAGGGTGTGGTTGGGATATCCCAGAAAGATAACAAGAAGTTGTTCTAGTGCAAAATTGTAAAATCATTTCATCATTAGGTCAATGGGACTGATCAATAACTTCTCTCACTGACATAATGCGCCCGCAAAACTCCTGCAACGGCAATAACAAAAGAAGAGTAAAAATGAAAATGGATATATGAACAACAACATAGCCAGGTTAAAACATATGAAGATTTAAATACATAATACTCAATTCCTATGTCTTTATATATGTAACACCAAAAATTCAATTTTTACATGCATGCCACCTTAACCATGCATAAAGAAGTGTTTTCACTTCTAAAAGTTAAAATGGTGGTATGTTTGAAGTGATAAGAAATATTTGAGTGGTATAAATGCAAAACAGTGAAGTTGCGGTGTTAGATATGTAGATACATAAGAATTGGGTGGTATGTATGTAAATGCTACTAAAACATATATTCAGTTAGCAACATGCACTTTATAAACACCTAAAAATTGCCGCTCAATAAGAAAGGTTCAACCATCCTGTCCTTATTTTCCCGAAAACTTGAAACAATCATCAGTAAAGAAGATGATGAAAAAATGTACATTCTTAAGAACAAATTAACAATATCTGGTAATCAAATTATTTCAAGGAAGATTCACATACATACCACCAATTTCTTCGTATTTACATATCTAAAATGTCAAATTCAAGTTATACATACATACCACCTTTCCTATCCAAGAAAAGTTGCAATATAGTTCTTTTTTAGTTAAAATAGTGGTATTTTTATGTGATATGAAAGATTCGAGTGGTATGCATGTAAAAATTGAATTATAGGTGTTAGATACGTAAATATATAAGAATGGGTGGTATGTATGTAAATGCCCCTTATTTTAAATGCAAAAGAAATAAATACCGATCCATTTGCTTCCGCCGCAACCATAACTTCATCAATAGTAGAGTACGAAATAAATGCATAAGCACGACTTTTGCCATTTTTTCGATCATGAAGAACCCTTGTGCTAATAACTTTTCCGAACCGACTAAAATATTCCATCAACTCTTGAGCCCTTATTGACCGAGATAGGTTACCAACATAAATCTTGTAAGGACTTTCAAAAACAATGCTTTTTTTAGGGGCAGAGTTCAGAGCCTCCACATTTTTCCTATTAGAAACCATGTCGACTGAAAACTTTACTCGCATTTCACGTCCACCAATATCCTTGAAAAAACAAAAGTAATTATAATAAAAGAAAAATAAATGATAAATGAAATAAAACATGAGTTTTAAGTTCAATTCTGGACTTACAGACCCATCCAAAGCATTTATTGCTAATTTTGCTTCAGAAATTGAAGCCATTGTAACAAAACCGCAACCTCGACTAATACCTGTTTGAGGATCACGTGATACCTGCAATGTGAGTTTTAATAATGTGTTTTTCAAGCTATACGTTGGTGTAGAAACAAATGCTCTCCAAAGTTAAAAAATATGACAGAATTTTGTTAAAATATGTATTTGCCTTCTATAATGCCCTAGATAGACTCTAAGGCTTTATTTGGTAGGGTTTTTCTTTTTATAAAAAATAATTTAAAAGCAACTTCACAAGAAGTGGTGATATAAAGTTAGGGTTCCTAAAGTTTTTAGGAGTGTTTAAATAGAAAAAAATCTGTGCGCTTTTCAATACTATTATTTATAACCATTTTAATATAAAAGACAATAATAGCCCTAATATTTTTAAATTATAACCATCATATCAAATATTGCAAATTGTTTATAGAAAATAAAATTTAAATGCAAGTAAATCCGAAAAACCCAAAGTTATCAAATCAAAATGCAATTCAGGATAGTGTTTCAGTTAAAGTGGTTTGACATTTAGCATGTCATTTTAGAATTTAACAACAATTAATTTTTAAAGAATTTAAATAAGAAATACAAGTCTCACATCACAATAATTTTTAAAATATTAAAAAAATTAATGACATGCCCAAAATTAAAGAATAACTCATTTTCTTCCAGAATGTCACATGGAGCTGAGGAACTCTTTGCTCACTGTATAACACCATCTTCTTCAAAACTTCATTTTTTACCTCATTAACTCCTTCAATGCCTTTCTTTGCCATTGGAAACTCCCCATGCAAAGCCCTTGTTTGGATTGCTTTCATCCCATTAGCTTCACTTGCTTTTTCTTCTCACAGCGAGGCCACTCTAATAAATGACCTCTAAAAGCTCTCCCCTAGCTAGGGTTGTGAATTTAACTTGAAGATTGTTAACTGCTCGAAAATCGATTCGAATTTTGGCTTTGATCGAAATGGAATCAAAATAAACAAGCCAAGCTATGAGCCTAAACTTTGGATCGAATTTTATTTGAGCCATACATGGATCAGCTTGAACTGACTCAAGATCAACTCATAATCTTTTTTATTTATGAAAATTATATATATAATGCAAAGTAAAATTGAATATAACGAGTCAGAGCCAATTTTAGGCCGATTCAAGCTAGAACTGATCCAAATAACTCAGTTTGAGTCAATTAGTTTCAATTTTGAACCAAATCAAGCCAATTCTGAGCTGAAAAGAATCTAAATAACTCAATTTGAGCTAGCTTGTTTAGAATTTGAGCCGGATCGAGCTCGATTCAATTTCAAGCCTGACACAACTTGAAATTGATTATAGTGAGCCACGAGCTGATTTTGAGCGACACTAAATCTATTCGAACCAACTCCAACTCGACTTGAAATCGAATCGTTAATAACCCCACTCATGACGAAAGAAAAATTTTGATTTTAGGATTTGTGTGGAGAAATTGAAACGGTGTAAGGGATGATATCTTAGTCAGAAGAATCGGAACAATACGTTGGAACGACAAAAGACATTGAGGCTATTTTTCTTCTTTCTTGCTCACCTTCAACAACCAATCGAATAAGGGTAATGATGATCTTTCCTGTTATGAAACAAGGAACGAAGCATGAAAGATACGCTGAGATCACGATCTGAAACAGGAGAAAAAAGTCATTGCGGTGGGAGAAATGTTTGGGAAAATTAAATACCAAATGAAACTACGATGTTTTATGTGTTCGATAGAACGCCAATGAGCCGAAACGTGTCCTCAAATGAAGCCTAAAAAAGAAAAAAAGTGCTTACTCATCTTCAATAGTTATACAACAAACATTCTGACAACATGTTTATCAATTACAAATTGCAATTCCTATTCCTCTTTTTATCAATCAAGTCTGGGGGAATCAAGTAACCACGAACTGAGTTAATTGTACAATAGTCCTGAAAGTTGGACTTGTAGGATTTGGTTGACCAGCCAATTGGGATTTCTTTCCTTATGTCGTTCTCAATTACTGACATTGTCCACCAAATAATTGCATTTTGATGGCCAAATAATAATTTTGAAGTTACAGGGCAGATTTCATCCATTCGAATCCAATTGTGTAGGGATTCACTCAAATTAAGAAAGAAAAAAAAAGAGAGAGAATAAGTTTAAGAAAGTGAGACGGGAGGGAAAAGCTGGCTGCTGCTATTTCCCCATGTCTGGGCCATTGGAGGGGGATGGTGAAAATTTTTCCTTAAAACTAAAAAATTCATTATAGGCTTCTGGGTACCTAATTCCTAAATACAAGAAATACTAATTCCAACTCCTTAAAATAAAATTCAGCAAATATAAGTTTTGGCCACAAATCACACAACCAATATGGTACTAACTGGTCAGTCTTATTTCCTTGCAGCCCGTTGACGATGGCTAGTTGACACTTTACAGTTTCAAAGTCACCCTGAAAAACCACTTTTTACTGAAGTTACAACCATTGTAAAAATAAGGTACTTTTCCTATCTACAATATGAACTTGGATTATTATGGTTGTTCCCCTTCCGCTAATTGCCTCAACTAAAGATTCACAAAAGACTGCATAGGTCAATTAACTTACAAATTTATAAGGTTTCCCCAAAAGTTTTGCATGGTCAAATCCATATTAATGAGGAAACTTATTAGATAATGGTGATGATATAAATAACTACCAATAGCTTTTCAGACATGGTTGGCCGATAGTTCATACTTATGATATGTAATAAGCAATAAACATTATAGACATACCTTCCATTTATATTTTACATGCGATCATAACACCAACTAAAGTTGCAAAATTATAAATTAAATGATATCCTTAATTCTTTACATATGCTCTACAAGGGGTTTTTGCTCCACAAGTGCAACACAAAACTTTTGTATAGCTCCACTGCCTTTAACTAAATAAAAACGTTTGAATTTGAATGTAACCCAGAGAGGACATTGACTTTCAGGTTAACCCAAAAATGCCTACTTTGAACTAAAAATTACTAAACATAATATTAAAATGCATATCCAATCACCCATCTAGCAATTTGAGGTATCCTAATGAAAAAATTATAGTCTACAATCATTGAAATCACACAAATTTGAGTTACAACAAAAATCTTAGCTTTTCAAATTTTTACACAAAATTTTAAATTTTAATTTTAAATCTTAATTATAATCAATCAACTAAGTTGGAGTCTATGTTTGCATGAATATGATGTCATAAAATTCTTGAGACCTTTTGTAATGCTATCCACACGTCCATTTTGGTCCCTCTGCTATACGAGAGTGTGTAGTTATTCCTATTTATATTTTCTCGAGTAGGAATTCATTTAGCAATGACTCTTTTTGCATAAGACTACTAAGTGTCTGTTTGAGGCGGCGGTCTGGTACCGCACTTTAACTTTTTATATTTGATAAGACTACTATTTGTCTATGTTCTCAAAAAATTGTAGCTAAAAGCTCTGTTTTTTCATCGTACATGATTAGCTGCGGTGGTCGTTAGAAAGTTACGGTTTTACTTTTTTTAACAAAAAACTTTTGTAACCGATATTGCAGTTTTTTTAACAATAACGTCTTTTTCAGCAACTTCAAGATTGTTTCTTCAAACAGCTGCAGCTGCCCCCAAACAGACCCTAAAGCTCCTTCAACTAACATCTCTTATTGAAAACAAATATTGTAGTTGCTTTTCGCTCTTTGGTGCATCATAAGACACATAAATGAACAATTAATTAACTTGAATAGCCGTTATGATCTTTTTTTTTTTTGTTAGTTAATATTCACTTGAATTAGATTTAAATTGTGTTATATTGTCATCGAAAGTATTAAATAGTTGTTTTGAGATCAACAAGTTATCTACATGTATAATCTTTATGTTCATTACGTAAATTTATTGCATCAAAATTTGCTATGTGTCCGAGATATGCATTTGAAACATGCAATGTCCAACATAAATTTTGGTGTGAGAGCTTAGATTGCAATGTCAACTATGAGGAGCACAATATCAGGTTAATGTGTTGAATAGATTAAGAAAATACTACAATCCTAATGGATATATAACAATAATTGATTGAATTGCAATGTAGAAAATTTATTTATGTATTATTATTGCAATTTCAACACAACCAATATGAAATCAAGGATAGTGCTGAGAAAGAGAGAGAGATTGGGGCAATTTATGAAGGACTCTGATTCCAAAATCCTGCCTAAACCCAGCAAATCAAATGGTAACTACGTTCTTTGTTTGATTGTTTTCATCTTCCACTTCTATTCCCTTTGCAGACCAAAAAAGCGCCTCGCACTCGATCATTGGAGAAATTATTGCATCAGGACAGTTGATGCAAATTCAGATTGTGACGTGGCACCCTGTTATTTGTCATGCCAATTTGCACCAGGGTATCCTGATACAATAATTTTTCCAATCATTCCAATCATTTATACAGAGGAACGTATATTAAAAATAAAATCATAAAAACAAGTGTTGTTTGGATTGAATGAAACTTTAAGAAAATGAATTTAAATCCGAGCAATTTTTTTGGCTCATTATAAATTTGCAACGTCGATTTGGGCCGAGGCTGTCGTCCGAAAAATAGCGAAAAAGCAACAAAGAATTACCTCTACCGAAAGAACAGTTCCGTAATGTTTGAATAACTCAAGAAGATTGGAGATCTCGTAGATTCTCGGGAGATTGCAAACGTAGAGCTCGCAAGGCCGTGCCCTGCGCTTTCTCTCATCAACAGCGCCGACTGAGCCGCCAATAGCTCTCCCATCCTCCTCAAAATCTACAGCTTCCAAGTTGGTCTTCTTTTCGTTTTCAATGACAGCAAGAAGCCTAGAGTTTCTTCTAGGTCTGTGAGGGAGAAGAAGAGAAGAGGGAGGGGAGTTTGAGCGGCATATAAAGAATCGAGAGAAGGAGGAGGAAGGCCGATGGATGAGGCTGAACGATGAGAAGTGCGAGATGAAAGAAAGCTTGTGGGGGGGGGCGGCCGGCCCCGCCATGGGAGTGGATAGTAGCAGAGGAGCGAAGTGGATGGGATAAGGAGGGAAGCGGAGATTTCCGGATGCTATTGCGATTGCTTTATTATTTTTATCAGGAAGAATTACATAAATAGTACATACCATTAATTTTAATGCATTATTTCATATTAGGGTTTGTTTGGGACTAAAAAGTATTACATCTGGAGTTTGTAATTTTTTGACATGTTATCACATGAAAATCGGGGTTCTAGTAAATAAAGATATGAAAAAGTGTTTTATTTTAATGCGTGATGCGGCTCGAACCAGCTTATTATTTCTAAAAGTAAATACTTTGTACCGAATCATAATGCTTGACTCATCATTTCGAAAACAAAACTCTATTGCACAACTTTTCAATTTCTATTTTTTTCTAACGCCATCGTTCGGGATTTCGCATTCCGGTTTTCATTTGAGAATCAAGTAGCTAAATATTTGTTTGTTTAAAATTCTTCGCATTGTCGGTCGCTGGTTGACATACGTTCGAAGTCCCTCTCTCTCGACATGTAAGTCTTGTGATCTTTAGGTTTTTCTGAAACCAGTCTTGGGAGAGAACTAATGTACTTCTATTTGTGTTTTCAAGCAAGTTAATATACAAAGTATGAAAGAACATAAGGAAACCAAAGAGCGTAAGAGTCGACAGAAGGCATCCATGTAATTTTGTTTGTGTGCTTGTACTTGCATCATATTGTATTTATCTGCATTGTGCAATGACATTACTATAACACCACAATACGACGACACGAATAACAGCACAATATGACGACACGAATAACACCACTGTATAACAACATTTTTATAACAATAATGTCACAATGATTCATTAATAATAGCACATTAACATCATAATAACAACTAAATAACATCACAAATAAATAAAAATAACACCGCACTAACACCATAATTATGCATAAATAAAACTTCAATAATACCACTATAACACTACGTTAATGTTTCAGTTTTATTGATGTGGGATTGTGGTGTTATTGAGGTATGACTGTGGTGTTATTGTAGTGTTATTTAGGTGTCATTAAAGCTCTAAATTTTCTATTTTATTGAGATGAGATTGTGGTGCTACTGAAGTCGGATTGTAATGTTATTCGGGTTTTATTATGGTGTTATTAAAGCTATAATATTTTGATTTTATTGAAGTGAGATTGTGGTGTTATTGATGTGAGATTATGGTGTTATTTAGGTGTTAATTGAGTAGTCATGTTTCAGTTTTATTGATGTTGGAATATGATGTTATTGCGATGAGATTATGGTATTGTTCTGATGTTATTGGAGTATTTTTTAGGTGTTAATTGAGCTGTAATGTTTTGCTTTTATTGAGTTTATATTATGGTGTTATTGTGTTGGGATTGTGGTGTTATTGTGGTGTTATTCTGGTGTTATTTAGGTGCTATTAGAACATTATGGTTTCAGTCTTATTGAGGTGGGATTGTGGTGTTGTTGCGGCGGGATTGTGGTGTTATTGAAGCTGTAATGTTTATGTTTTATTGAGGTGGGATTGTGGTGCTATTGCATTGGGATTGTGGTGTTATGTCGGTGTTATTTAAGTGTAATTGAAGCTATAATGTTTCAGTTTTATTGAGGTTGTGGTGTTATTGTTGTTAGATTGTGGTTTTATTCTGCCATTATTGTGGTGTTATTGAGAGCGTTAGTGTGATGTTATTGTAGTGTTACTGTGTTGTTATTTAGGTGTTATTGGGGTTGTAATGTTTCTTTGTTATTGAGTTGATTATGATGTTATTGAGCTGAGATTGTGGTGTTATTAGGTGTTATACTGGTGTTATTTTGGTGTTATATTTGTGTTATTGGAGCAATAATGTTTCGATTTTGTTGAGGTGGGATTGTGGTGTTATTGAGGTGAGATTATTGTGTTATTGTGGTGTTATTCTGATGTTATTGTGGCTTTATTTAGGTGTCATTAGTGTTGTATTGTTTTGGTTTTATTGAGGTGAGATTGTGGTGATTGAGGTCAAATTTTGGTGTTATTATGTGTTATTTTATGTGATTATGGTATTATCCTGGCGTTTTTGTGGTGTTATTGAGGGTCTTATTGTTGTGTAATTATGGTGTTATTATGTTATTACTTAGGTGTTATTGGAGCTATAATGTTTTACTTTTATTGAGGTGACATTGTGGTGTTATTTTGGTGTTATTGGGATCTTATTTACGTATTATTGGAGCTGTAATATTTTGATTTTATTGAGGTGAGATTGTGGTGTTATTGAGGTGAGATTGTGATATTATTGTAGTGTTATTCTAGTATTATTTAAGTGTTATTAGAGTTGTATTGTTTCAGTTATTTGGTGTTATTGTGGTGTTATTTGGTGATATTTAAGTTTTATTATTACACAATTGGTGATAACAAATTGTCTTTTTTGGCATTGTCTTCTTTTGTAGGTTATTCAACCCAAGGATTTCAACTGCAGATGTCGACTCTGTAGAAAGAGGTGTTCTTGATAAGGTCAAACATACTCTATTTGAGGAGACTATGAATAACCTGAAATTAATGAATGTGCTTCAATTTTTTGATTTGTCTCTGTATCCCCAAGATAATGTCCTGACATTACACATCTTAAATTGTTGGAATTTTGAACGGAGGGTTTTCAGGATGAGAGAGAAAGAATTGTAATTAGACCCTGATCAAGTTCCCTACTGATAGGCATGCCCAATAGAGAAGAACTAGTCCACCGGAATAAAGCTCCCTCTTGTGGTGTAGAAGCGAGATAAATAAAGAAAAAGCTAATTAGGGTTTCATCTGAGGAGTACTCTATGCCCTTTGATAAACTGTTTCTAATGTTTTTGTTAACAAATTTATTTTTCCTTCGAACAATTTTAGTGTGCCCAAAGGACTTTACACTTTTAGTGAGAATGTATATTCTTTTTCTTTCTTTACTTGGTCAGCTGCTGTGTGTAATTTTCTCATTGTTCAAGTGAATGTCATTCTCATAAAAGTAATGTTAAATCAACCATTGTGATATATCAATGGATTTGTTTTTCTTCTCACGATAAGTGTGTTGTTTATGTCTTTTAAATTTTTTTTTGTCAAAGTAGATTATGATTTATCTTTTTACACAACTCTCATTTTATGAGCATACATCTTTTTTCACTCTTGCTGCACCAAAGGTCAAGCCTCGCAAGTTGAGGTGGCCAACCCAATTTTTCACTAGCTGTAATAACAATTCAAAGTATTAAATCCTACAATCCACTTATGTAATCACAAGAGAAAGGAGGTTTTTACCTCTTGAAATTTACTAATCTAATTTGTCTAGTTATGTTTAACTTTAGACAGGGTTGTATTTAGGAGTAGTTTTTAGAAAAAGTTACATTAATTAATATTCCAAACTAAGACCTAAACGTAGTAGAGTAGAACCTAACCAAATGAATTTCTTACCTCGCTTCTCTGTGGGATCGATAATCCAGACTTAATAGAGACCTATATTACTGAAATGATATGTGTACTTGTATGAGAAACCCCAAGGAGTAATATTACCTAATTTTAAGAACTCAATCATTAGATAGGAAGCGAATTAAATTTTTGGTGCCCTTACTAGGATTGCACAAAATTGTGATACACCGTGGGGTGGATCAATACTCAACAAGTAGATCAAATAATAAAAGATGTTGTTGGAGCTCTGACAACTGTGCACATTACACCCATAGAGGGAGATATCCAAGACAACCATACAAATATTATTTATGTAGATGATTATCTGGATGCAAAGATATTTTATTAAGAAATTACTCTGGCTATTATGTACCATAACAATTAATTTGACATTATAGATGATTATTTTTTGGTTATGTAGCATCATCCAATCGAGATAGTTATCAATTTTTCTGGTAGAACCAAAATATCCCTTGAAATACAAAAAAGAATTGATCGATGTTGTATTAATACTCTGATAGGTCAATAAATGTTCACATTTTCTTGTTTTGCAATATTCTTATATTTAAATTTCACAAAAAAACTATTTGTTCAAGCTATAGGGGTAATGTTATGACTGATTTGGAACATGTGGTAATAAATTGTTCTATTATTGATGACAGACTAGTTTTCAAATGATCACGTCAATGCTTTCACCCTAAAAATTGAGAAAATGAAGAAAAAAATCACCTGTATTATATAGACCATACATATATATCGCATTACACAAGGTAATTATTCAAGTTAAACTAAATCATGTAAAGTTAACACAACATTTATTTGTATTCTTATTCCACGATGACATTTGTGTCATTTTATTTTATGCAGATATATAGAATTTACAGAAATTCACACAACATTATGTTCGTGTGACAAATCACAAAGCAAAATGTAAAAAATATAGAAATTACTGTATTTCCTATTGTTGATAAACAACATCGGGCATTGTTGGTTGAGGTGGATATTATATCACTTTTTACCAAACAAGATGCACAAGGAGATCACTCATAACGTTGTAATTATACTCAACATAAGCTCAATGATTCATTATTCAGTTTATATTGTTTTTTATTGTATGATAATTTAATTTAACCAGAAACATTTTAGATCAATTTATTTGTAAAAGATGCTGGCAAAGGTTTTCAGAACAATCCATTGAAATGACCAGTTGTTATGGCTAAAGGCCCTCCAGTGCAAACCAACAGTGTGCAAATATATGGAAACATTTGTACAAATTGAGATAGCTGACTGAAACAATAATTGGTTTGACATGCATATATGTCAAAATTTAGAGCAGAATTTGCTTATGAAATGTGTCTATATGCTATGTTTAAAGATTTGTAATTGGTACTCTGATGGATTTAAACTGATGTTATCAATGAATGCTATATTTTATAACTGATTTTCTTGTGTCCGTGTCTTGATCATCACCAAGTTAAGTGTGCTTCATCTCTTCATTAAAATTGTCAGAATACTATGACATTACTAGTGGTGTAAACGAGCTGAACACGAGCGATTCGTTTATATTTCGAGCTCAAAAAGTGTGTTC